TAGCTTGAATTTTGTTGTGACGATGTTACCTCGCTCTGATGATGTCCGTCATATGACGCACGAAAGCTTACCACCTCTTCACCGGAATCGAAGGAGATTGCCTCGGAAACAGCGCCAGCATGAATCTTCTATTAAAGCCAATCGGCAGCTGGTCAAGAGGAATCCTAGTCCTATTTTGGTGGAATCGAACTTCGAATCTCTTCACCCAACACCTCCACTCGAAATGGAAATAAGCTCAACAATTATGAAACAAGAGACTCCTCGAAACCCAACTTTTCTTCGTATACACTGAGAGTGGTAACCTGAGAGATTAAGTGTCTTTTAAAGCAAGAAGACTGTGGGATGCACTCAAGCTGACAAACGGTGGAGTCTTGGAGGTGACGTTGCCAAGGCTGGTGAATGGAAGAAGCATGGTCTCAAGGCACGAGCTGTAGAGATCGAAACTGTAGTCGATCTTGAGCGATTAAGTCTCTCTTTAAAAGCAAGAATATGTGAATTTTACTGGCATTGTGAAGGCAATCCGTGGGATTTTGGGAAAAACTCCTCTGCCAGTCCTTAGATCACCTTAAGCGATCTTCCACTTATTCAAATGCATGTAGACTAGCGTCGAGAATCGGCTCTCGTCAACTCTTCCCAGCGTCGCCTCACGATGTGGAGAATGCTATGGGATTCCTCGAAATATGCCTACCCAGCACGTTTTGTACGCACACTCGTCCTGCTTAGATTCGACTTAGTGGAGAATGTTGACACAGCCTGAGCTCCCCGGTTTCGCGATTTTTCACATTGCTCCTGACGAGTGGGTATGTGCAGCATGTATAGGAATAATGAATTAGGCCCCAGTCAGGCTTAACTGACAAATATGGGATCGCCCTATTTACGCGAAGCCTGCCTAGAAGCTTAAAGTGCGAGGAATCTGTCATCCATTGTGAACCGTTTGTGATCTGTAGCAGCGATACGTGAGATATGTGAGATGCATTAGTCAGTGTTAGTCTGCTTCCTGTTGGTACAGAAAAGCTGAATTTCGAGAGCCGTCAAGGCCTTCTCTTCATTGCATCTTGAGCGGGTCGTCTTTCAGACCTTGGCTCGTAAAAGCGCACAGAACTACACACTTTTGCACCATTTATGGATCGCTTGTCCTGCTGACTAAAATCGGTTTTCGGCTGAAATAAAAGAATATTTTCCCACAATGATAATGTAATTGGATTTAACTCTATCTCTCTCTCTCTCTTCGCCTCACCCCTAATTTACCCGTCATTATCGTCAATTTTAAAAGCAGAAAAAAATAACTGCGATAACTACAAATGTCTATTTATGCTAATGCGTGTTTTTATAAGTTAAAATGGTTAAGAAATAGGATGTAGCGAATTACCATATTAGCAATAACTTTGAGAATGGTAGAGAAACTGTGGCGTGAAAGGAGATAGACGGTGGGATGCAGACAGTCAGGACACATTCAAGATGGCAACTGGTGTAGTCTTGGAGGTAACAATGCGGAGTGTGGAGAATAGAAGAAGCAGATGGTTGGGAAACAAGATACGATGCCAAGGAGGTAGAGAGTTGAGATTTCTTTGTGAAAATATGATTCGTAGATATGATTTTCGACATTTATTCAGTAAATTACACAGAATGCCATCTGAAAGGACAAAGGACCCAATACTCATGGCTTCAAGGAAGGTTGTAAGGGTCATACTTACTATTTCGAGGCCTGCTTTTAGGTCTTTTGGTACCTCCTGTCCTATGTTTAACAGGCCGAGGCGTAATGCAGTCTGGTCTCATTTTAGGAAAAGGCGGACTCGTTGCTAGGGTGGTGACCTTCTTCTTCTTTTTGCCGAATGCGTCACTGGTAGAGATGAGCAAGCAGACAGCAAGGACAATGAAGAGCAGTACATACGGGCGAAATAGTCGCATGTTGCGGAAGCAGATGACGCTGAGGAGTGAAGAGCAAAAGTGCTTCACAAGTGGCCACGAGAGGAGCATTTATACATGACTGGCCAGGCAGAAAATTGCGGAGATAGACGATGCACGGCGTCAAGGTGCGAGGTGTAGAGATCGAACTACATCTCAGCCTAACCGGGCCAGGCCCCTGTAGGACTGGCAAACGCGAACTTGTGTTATGACTCGTGAAAGTGAGATTGCTGAGTAAGTCAGCCCCACGAGAGCAGGAGCTGATTCGAGGCGGAGGCGAGAAAGTGACAGGGTGGGCAGACATCACGGAGCAGGTAGAGAAATGTCGATGTGGCCGAATGGCCAAAATCGCATATCCTGAAAGTGATAGGCCTCCAAGCCTCCCAAAAGTCAACAAGGTTTCTTCCTGTGGAGAGTACTTCTGCCCATTTTGCTCCGTGCGAGGCAGTCAGTAATAGGATTTATTGGTCGAATGAATGTATCCGATGCACAAAACACGAAGCATAAGCTAAGAGTAGTATTCGGTACGAGTTGATAAGAACGAAATAGAAATGTACCTTCTACATTGTGTTGAACAGAAGCATGTGTGAGCTCTTGTCGTTCACTAAATCGGCTCATAGAAAGAAGCATATCGAGGCGACTCATCTATTCAGGCAACTTCGAGGAAATCATACAAGAGTGACTGATCAACTCGAGGTACAGAAACGATTGTGGTACAAATCGGGTTGGGTCACGAATAACAAGTGAAAACGCGAAATAATCGTAGTCAAGTAAATGGGAAGATATAAAAACAATGACTAATAAATGGGATTGCTAGGGGGATCTTCATTTCGAATAAAAGTAAATCAAGAAGAGATTCGTTTGTAGATCTCACCAGATGAGGACGGATGCAAATCGTTGTACTGAAGCCGTTTAGCTTTTATATTATATTCATGTTGACGCAATCCACGAGTATTCCTCCCTCGTTTCGGGTAAAAACGTGCTGAGCTTTCGTCCATCATATACTCATCAGAGCTGGGTTTCATTCTTGTAAGAGTCTCACGTTAACACTAAAGCAAGAACACTATCCGGCTTCCTCTCACTACTTATATACACTCATTCGAGTCAATAAATTACAAATTACAAATCTAGACAGATCGATATAGAGTTGTTTGGTTAATTTTATTTCAGGTT